AGGGAGTGTTCTTCCATGGAGAATGGGCTCCTGAAGTCCATTCCTGCACCAGGGATACATCCTGGATACTTGGGATTTTTTTTTTTTTAAGTTGCAAAAAGAAGCAGCCAAAAGTATCAACTCTGGTGTTTATCATAAACAAATCAAAAGGAAATGTTTGCACACTGAGGGAAAATGTCATAATACTATTACTAACTCTTCGTATATAGCAGCTGTTGCTTTCTTTTGTGGAAACTAAACAAATAATATGTTAAAATTTAGAGTTCTTTCTGGAAAAATGGCTCTGCAGTTAAGAGCACTAGCTGCTCTTTCGAATGCTCTGCATGGGTTACAAGCACCTCATGGCAGTTCATAACCATCAAGTCCCAGAGGACCCAATGGCCTCTTCTAGACTCCAGAGGCATCAGGTATGCGTGCAGCACACAGACATGTTTTACATGTTGGCAAAAACATTCACACGCATAAAATAAAATTTTAAGTATATGTAGACTTCAAAGGAGTAATGAAGAACAAAGTCAGAAAACAGTAACAAGAACAATATTCAAAAGGAAAGGAAAGTATATTACTATAAAAAAATTGCCAATGAGGGGGGAAAAGTTACCAGGTAAGAATTCTGCATGTATACATGTGCATGCGTGAGTGTGCATGTATGAGTGTGGGGGGGGGGAGGAAAAGAGAGAGGAGAGAATGTGTGTGAGAACAAAGAATTTAAAAGCAATATATGTACATACAATGCATATAAACATATAAACAAATTCCAGCACTGTTTCAGCATTTGGAAGTGAGGCATACCAAGAGCAGCGCAACTGCCCCAACTGGGCACTTTTCATTTATAGGAGGGTTAGCTAAAGAATGTGTGCTGGATGGATTACATTTTCTAGAAAGAAAAGCTAACTTTAGACTCCTCTAAATTATCACTCTTTGTTTTCTGTGGGTGATGCATAAGAATTCTTTGCATTTAAGTAAATGCTTTGCATGTTTTTAGAATGCTCTTAACTCCATTTAAACAACTGGCAGAGAGAGGAGAATGGCCTTCACTGACAAGCACAGACCTGCCTTTACACTTGGCCACTGGACTGTTACCCCACACAAACATCACTACTAAACCACAACCCTCCTCTCGTTTTTATCCCCAATACCTCACATTAAAATCATACTTTTCAAAGTTCCACAGTCTTTAAAATATCCAATCTCATTTTTTAAAAAGTTCAAGTTTTTCATTTGTGGGCTCCTTTAAAAATCAAAATTAAATATCTTCTTCAGGAGGGAAGAACCAGGACACTGTCACAATCTGAAACAAGCAAAATCAAGCTCCAATAGTACAAATAACTCAATGTCCAATCATCTGAGATTGACTCAGTCGATTTTTCTAGAAAACGGGAGTACAAATAATCTTTGAAAAATTAAGTCCAGAGAAGACTTACATGAAATTGAGAAGGTCTGTTGATGAGAGATTCTCCATGACCCCACTCCCGTCATGTCCCACCACCAAACCCCTGCCACTTGTTATTAGGATTTGAGGGGTGGAAGCTTTGAAGAAAATAAACTTCAACTCGGGAAGAATTAATTTTTACTGCACTGAAAACAGGCAGAGACTGTATTAAATGAAGGTCTACACATTGAATAGTTGGTAACACTCAAACCCCTTTCTCTCACTCAGTAACAAGCAGTTTTGCACTCTCCAAACTCAAGCCAGGTAATTCCTCTAGGGAAAACAAATGCTTAACTAACCAAATATTATTACATAACTGTGTTTTTGAAAAGAGGACAGAAGTATTTGTACACAGAAAGGGGATGGAATTGAGACCTAAATTCTCATTCTCCAAACAAACAAACAAACAAAAATGCTCACAAAACTAGAAACTTACATAACAATAAGCAGTAAGTAATAAAAATCGATTGTGTCTAAGGAGTAAGCAAGGGACCCCTAATTTTGAACTCTAGTTTTGTTAATTATGTCTTCGATTATATCTATAATTTTTTAAAGTAATACATTATGTGTAAAAGGTATTTTTTTAAAGGAATTAATGTGGTGCTGGAGAGATGCCTCAGCAGTTGAGAGCACTTGCTGCTCTTGCAAAGGACCCAGGTTAACTTCCCAGCACCCTGCATGGCAGTTCACAGCTGTCTATAACTCCAGTTCCATGGGATGATGCCTCTTCTGACCTCTGAGATTTCCTGCATGCTCCCCCACTCAAAAAGTTTTTAAGGGAATTCATGTATCAAACTGAAGAAGAGCTAGAATTACCACTTAATAAATAGTATTTAATATTTAATGAAATAACAGTATTCTAAGGTACACAGAGATAGAGGGGGAGGAAGGGAAAAGAGAGTCCTGTCTCTTTTAAGTACCCTAATGACTCAAACTATTTTTGTATTTCCTAATACAACAATAACTAGAAGAAAGAATTTCTCTTTAAAAATATGACTGATCAGGCTGGTGATAGAGATCTGTAAAATTACTGATGGGAGATGCCATTATGTATATATGTTTCTCATACTGGTTAATAATAAAGCACTGTTGGCCAATAGGAAAGGAAGATAGGAGGGACTAGGAGACAAGGAGGAAATAGGAAGTAGGAAGGAGGAGTCAAGATGGAGAGTCTGGAGAAAGCAGTATGCCGCCGGCTCCCCGGTAAGAGAAATACATAGATCAGCAGAAATGGGCTAATAATTAAGGCAGAGCTAGCCGATAAAAAACAAGTAACCGGGCCAACAGCATTGTATCAAATACAGAGTCTCTGTGTATTATTTGGGGCTGGCGGCGTGGTGGCGGGACAAGACCAGAGGCGGCGGCAGGAGGAAAAACAGTACTCGTTACAAATTACTATTGTAGTCTGAATGTAATTGGCCCCCATAAACTCATGGGAAGTAGCACTAACAGGAGGCGTGGCTTTGTTGGAGTAGGTGTGGTCTTGTTGGAGGAAGTGTGCCATAGTGGGTGTGAGCTTTGAGGTCTCCTTTGTTCACCCTATGCTCAGTGTGACAGTTCACTTCCCTCCGCCTATGGATTTAGATGTAGAACTCTCAGCTCCTTCTCCGGCACCATGTCCACCTGCATACCACCATGTCCTACCACGATGAGCATGGTCTAAACCTCTTAACTGTAAGTGAGCCACCCGAATTAAACATTCTCCTTTTTAAGAGTTGCCATGGTTATACTGCCTCTTCACAGCAAGAGAACCCTAACTAAGACAAGCACCAACTCAGGAAGTTAAGGCAGGAAAGCTGCCAAGTTTAAGGCGTGAGTGGACTACAGAGCAAGCAAGTTCAAGGCCAATGCAGCACAACTCTGTGAAAGTCTGTCCCAAAATGAAAAACAGGTTGGGAACAGAGTCCAGTGGCAAAGTGTTTGCCTTGCATATTCAAAACCCTGGATTCAATCAACAGTAAAACAAAAATAAACAAACATAAAAATATGATTGTAGAATAGTTCTAAGTAAATATCTCCTACAATTAAAAGAATAAAAATTTATATTAACTTAAAATAAGATCTGAGTCCATAAGAGGGGCAAAAAGCCTTATTTGTCAATTGTTTGATACATAGTTTATATTAATCAGAAATTTTTATGAAGAAGAATTTTCTTTAATTTCTATTTCTGCTTGGCAACCTTGAAAACAGGACATTTAAATCTAACATTTTAGAAAGCACACTGAACTGTTGGGTTAAATAATTTCATAAATAATATTTTCAATATATTGCAACTTATTTGCAAATGAGAAATGAAACTTAGGATTTTTTTGAAAGGTAAATTAATGATCCTGCTATATACACTAAGTAATACACAGAATTAAGGAAACATATCAACAGACTGGCAAGGCTGTATAATGGATAAAGGTACTTGCCTCAAAAGTCTAACACTCTGGGTTTGATCCCCAAAACCCATGTAAAAATAGTAGAAAGAGAAAAAAAAACTCCACAAAGTTGTCTCTGGCCTCTACAGGTCATACTGTGGCATGTGTGTTCCTCCTAACCCCTATGCACATTAAAATAAAGGTTGTTTTTTAAGTAATTGGTAAATATTAGTATTTTAAATCACAGATTTCAAAGTATTAGACACAATACATGTCATTGTAAAGACTTTGATATGAATATAAACTATGTATTAAATAGTATCATATATAGAATGCTAAATTTTGGGGTATGACAATGGTATTGTATAAATGTAAAAGACTATCATGATGCTAAATATTTATCAGTGTGTCTACCACTTACTTTCAGAGGGATCAGGAAGAAAAGACAAAGTAAATGTATAAATATTAACACCAATTCAATCTGGACAAGTGAGCTATGTATTCGGTATACTATTCTTCCATTCCAACTACAGATTTGAAGTTTTTAAAATAAAAAAGGTGTGTGTATTCTTGTATATTACAAAGACGTGTATAAGAACTTAAGAGCCCATAGTGCAAATAACCCAAACACAAACAAAGAAAAAATAGAATAACTGAACAGAGACAGGAAAATGGATACACTATGGTATGCTCATATAAAAGATTAGCGTGCAGCAATGGAAATGAATGAACTAATACCACACAGGTGAAACTCAAACAACCATAAATAACCGAACGTTTTTCAGGCAATACTTATGTAAGATCAGTCTTCTTACTGACCTTTAACAAAAGTTGTATTCACAGGCAGTACAAACAAGACTTTAGAGAAACATATTAGGAAGGTAGTTAGGATAAGAAATTATTTTCAGGCAACGTCATGCACATTATAAAACCACCCACATACTTAATGATCTGTTCACGAACTAGGATGCTCTGCTATTTGTGGTCAGTGGGCAGCAGTTTTTGAAACATCTAGTTTGAATGAGCAGGCACACTGGATATAAACTTGTATCAAAAAGACTTCCTTAACTAAAAATGTTCAAATTGTACTGTAACTTAGTGGTTTTGTTTTAAAATAAATCTAAATTCAGACTAACATCCGGAGATGATGGTAATGGTGGTGATGATGATGCAAGGCGAGGAGGAGGAGAAAATAAAATACTCACATTTACTCTGAAAGCCTGTACAGTGTTATCCAGAAGAAGAATGTTACAAACCACCTCTGTATGCTGTCTGTCTCGGGCCAACTCTGATGCTCGGACATTGTAGGTTCTGCCAGCAGGCAATCGGAAACGTGCGGTCATTACTGTCCACACAAGATCTAGGTTTAAAAACCAAAAATCACTAAATAAAAGAGTAGAAGATACAGTATAGCATAAATAGGAAAGTTAACATATATTTAAAGTTATAACAGTGACAGAAAACAACTGCAAGTTGTTCACACAAGATCTAGGATTAAAAAACAAGAATCACTAAATAAAAGAAATCATGGAAGATATGGTATAACTTTTAAAAAAGTTATTATACATTTTAAATTAAAACATTGTCAGAAAACAATTACAAGCCTTGAAACATCGAGATTAAGAAAATTAGGTAACACATACATACACATATACATACAATGTAAGCTAAAATTACAAAACACCTTACAAACATTACTTTGAACTGTTCTGAGAAGATTTAATGAGTAAAAATTTCAGCAAGTCCCACTGCAATCCAAAATGTGTGCATGTGAAGGGTGGGGGAACACAGAGTGCTCTCTAAAAAATACTGTAGAAGGACACAGGGAGAAGATTGTTTTATTTCAATCACTATTGTTTCCTTTTATTGAAAAAAAAATACTATAGAATGACAATAGTGAAAATCATTCTATTTCAACCAACTACTCCATCTGTTTTTATGGGGAAAGGGGGTGTCAGGCCTTACTATGTACCCAAGTTGACCTGGAACTCCCGTTTCAGCCTCCCAAACTGCTGGGATTACAGGCATATAAAAAGTACCTAGCTCTTTGCCATTTTTCATTTTTACATATGTGGAGGAAAAAAAAAAGACCACCTATAAAAAAACAAACACCATACTGCTGCAAATAATAGCTATTAAAGACAATGAAACTGTGTTTTCAAAGCTCTGAAAGAAAATTATTCAGAACACTGAATTCTATACCCAGAATTCTATACCCAGAAAACTAATGGTCATATTAGAGAGAAAGGAAAAAATAAAACAAAACAAAATCATTTCAGGCATTCCCTGACTCAAAAAATTTTAAATTCATAAAACTTCCACCTTAAAGACAATACAATAAAGGAAATTGAGCAAGAAGAAACACAGACACTTGGATATTATTATTTTCATTTTTTTCAAGGCAAGATTTCTCTGTATAGCCCTGGCTATTCTGGAGACCAGGCTGGCCTCGAACTCAGAGATCCATCCGCCTCTTTGGAACACAAACAAAACAAAATATACTTAAGGAACTGAAATTATACAAGGTATGTTCCCTGAAAACAGAAGAATTAAACTAAAAATTAAAAACAGAAAAGTCTCTAAACACAAGCAAGAAAAGTAAATAGCAAACTTCTAGGTGCATGTGGGACAAAGAAGAAATCTTAAGGAAACCCAAAAGATACACAGAATTAAGTAAAACAGAAAATACAATATAGAAAAATTTGTGGATTACAGATATAGCAGCACTAATAATGGAAATTTATAGAACTGTGTGTATATAACAGAAAGACAGGACATGCCTCAAACCAATAATCTAGCCTCCTTGGACAGAGGGCTGGAGAGATGGCTCAGTGGTTGACAGCATGTAATCATCTTCCAGAAGACCTGAGTTCAATTCCCAGCACCCATATCAGGTGGCTCACAACTACCTATAATACCAGCTTCAGGGAATCTGACACTTCTGGTCTCCTTAAAACATCTGCCACCCATGTGGCACATCCCCGATACACATATACATACACATAATTAAAAACTAAATAAATATTTAAAGCAAAGTAACAAAAAGAATTTGGACAGAGAAAAGTCTAATGAAATGAAAGAGAATAATAATATTAATAATAAAATAATTAAAGCCTATACAACCCTCCAAAAGAAAAAGAAAAAAATGATTAACATGAGCAATAAAACAGAGGGCACTATCTGGACCTTGTAGACATCAAAATAATACTGAAAACAATTTACACTTAAGTATAATAATCTGACACATAAAGGGGTTCTTTTCTTCAAAAGGTACAAAAATATCAGAATTTAATTTATATAAGAGACAATTTAAATAGCCTTGTAGCTATTTAATTTTGAATAAAATGTTGGAAAAAAATTTAAAACCCTATGGCATTTTTAAGGGTCTACTATCTAAGGGTCTACTATCTACTAACACTGTCTCTACAATCTCGCAGGAAGTCACACAGGCAGCACCTCTCATTTATGAGACCAGCATTCCATTGAAACACCAAAGGCATACAGAAGAATTCATCAATGTGTGAAAGAACTATACAAGAAGGGTTTTATTTCTGAAGTGCAGAAAGGCTTAAAGTAATACAACAACTGAGCAGTCACCTACCATATTAACTGAGTAAGGAAGAAAAATCACATAAGCTTTTCAATCAATGCTTTTATGATAAAAATTCTAAAAAAAGAAAGAAAAGGGACCTTCCTCAACATGATTGAGGGTATCTAGAAAAGCAGTCTATGTGGCTACTATCCTCATTAAGTTAATGATTATCTAAACATTTCACCTAAAATCAGGAGCAAAGCAAATAATTCAGTGAGAGTGAGAGTGGTAGGTGAATGCTGGGATGCACGCAGAAAGAAAGAAAACTAGCCATGTTTGCAAGTTCTGTGATATATGCATAGAATACATGGAGCTAAATTTCAAATACAAACCATCTATAAAAGCTGAGCAAAAAATAAAATGGACAAATATAACAAAACATATACAGAACCCTATGCTAAACGCAACAAAAGAGACGAGAAACTACTGAAGAGAAACTACTAATGCTCAGTGTGGTGAGGTGCCCCACTAAATATGCCAACCTTATTGTGAGACATAAATTTTAAATCATGTTTTCCATGAATATTTATGTAGGATGCACCTCTCTATAAGTACTATTGAACTTAGTGTATTTTACTCTTCAAACAAGAATTTTAGCCACTCAAATCATATAGTCTAAAGATTGTCAGAAGTATGTCTAAAATATAATTTTGAGAACTCTAGGAATATTGGTTTATTGTTCTAGAATGAACATTCCAGAAATTCGTTTTCTTTCTATCTATTTATTTATTTATTTATTTATTTATTTATTTATTTATTTGAGACACTTCTCACTGTTGTAAATCTAGCTGGCCCAGAACTAAGTAGACCAATATGGCCTTAAACTCATAGAGACATGCCCACACAGAGGACTGGAATTAAAGCTGTGCACTACCACACTGGGTCTTGTTTTTAAACAAATGTACACATAAACTTTAATGAACCATACTTTTGGTGTCACATCTAAGGCTAGTTCCTCAAATTTAGATACTAAAGATTTTCTCACATTTTCTTTTAAAAATTTGCACAGTTTAGGTTTTATGTTTAAATCTGACTCACAATATAAAATGAGAGGTAGTGTGGACTGGGGCTCTTGTATACATACAACTCTGTATCACTGTTGAACCCCGCCCCCCCGCAACTATTTGGGATGTGGTGTGTGTGCGCCATAACACATGTGCAGAGGTCCGAGAGTAATTTGCAGCAGGAGATGATCTCCCACCACATGGGTTCTGGTTGAATCATCAAACCTGGCAGCATGTGCTTTTACCTACTAAGAGCCAATACCCAACAATGCCTTATTTTTGTTATTTTATATTCAAAAATACTCAGTGAATCAAATTTAAATGTAAAATCTAAACTGCAAAACTCAGACACACACACAAGCACATATAATTTAAAAATAAAATCTTTAAAAAAAATTACATTTTATTAGATATAGATAATATACAGAAGCCTTAAAATTATACAATAAGAGATGTGCAGGCTTTATACAAATATTACCCACAGACTTCTATACACAATTAAATATCTTAATATAAATAAGGGCAAAATGTTAAGAATAATAACTGTATCCTCTTTGGACATAAGAGAATAAAAGCTTTTAAAACAATCTAGAAGAATGAAGTAATCATGTCTTTCCTTAGTCAAGTTTTACCTCTTTCTCATAAGACTACTATGTTGATTCTTAATTATTCTTTTTCTATTTTTAATTCTTCTATGTAAATTGAGAAATTCTGGTTTATATTAATTTCCTAGTGATTAAAAAATAAACCTCTATTTTGAAAACTAGAATACTAGGTTGGGTCTAAAACATTTTTCTAAGTGGTATCTCTCTTGACTTTACAAATGTCCAATTACATTAAAAATAGGCAATCAACTGCTGGTTGAATTTCATGAAATAAAAAGACAAGAACAAAGAACCAGCACTTGAGCTAAACTAGGTCAACTCTGACCTCCTCTTCTTTTCCTGCTTCAGGTTATAAATCTCCAATACCTTTCCTTCAATCTCCTGGAAGATGGGTTCTGGGGCAAAAGATGTGCTTGGAATAGGAACAGTTCAGAACGGTCAAAAGCTGAAGAGGTCAATGATTTCAATTTCACTAAAGAAGAGTCCACTGATTTAAAAATCAAATGTTTTCCCTGTCTCATGTGTAACTTTCAAATTATTAGTTTATTCTCCTTCACACGACCAACTCTAACAAGTATTGTCATTATTCATCTTGTTTCTAAGGAGTCTTAATTGAGTTTATCACTAATTAAAAGAACGTTCTTCTACTGGCTAATTTGCCTGGTAACCTTGGACATTGATAATTTTCAGTAAAATATGTCCAAACACTAAAAAAAAAAAAAAAAAAAAAAAAAAAAAAAAATCAAATGTCATTTACATAACCACTTTTTTCATTTTATTACTTTTTTGTGTTTCATTGAGAAAGCTAAAAAATGCTAGCAAGAAAACTGTTATTAGTTGTTTGAGTTCTGTAGAGAATAAATGAATATTAAGTGACCCTAGCTTATAATTATGTGAAACTAGAAAGTAACATTTACGTGTTCCTAACAATCTTATCTACCATAACAACAAACTGCATCGAGTTATAATTTAATAATCTCTTGGGTTTTACAGTTTATTACTGGAGCAGTGAGAAGCTTGAAAAGAGCCATAAAACAATGCATTTAGTATAAATGAAATCAAATTTAAGCAGTATCTATTATAAATCTAGTCCTACAGAAGGCACTAAATGGAAAACTCCAAAGTAAAGAGGTTAACTACTCTCAGGGAAAAAATAAAC